ATCCAATGATCATAATATATATCATTGAATTCGTATTTATATGGGATATAATACTGTAAAGTCAAAAATATTAAGTGCTACTTAAAAAAGATTAAAGTAGCTTTGAAAAATATTAAAAAAAAAAACAAAAATGTTTTTTCGAACTTTTTTTTTTATTGCAATGTACAGTCAATCAAAAACAGATCAATTTTTGTTTTAAGTGTTTTTTTTGTGAGGTTATCATAAGTGCTTGAAAGATTATGACTAGAGTTACGTGTATATTATAATAATTACATCTTCTTTATAGTGTGGTTTCATTTAAGAAATTCCATTAAAATGAAATAAATATTAAAATTAAAACGTTTTAATGTTAAATTTTATATATTAGATGCATTATTACCTTTATACACATGCGCAACATTTGGAAAGTCATATAAACAGCATTTAATAAAAGAACTTTCATAGAATAGAAAGTGCCAGTCTCAAGGTGAATTTCGAAGAGGAAGGTACATAGATCATATATTTTGAACTCTTACATAACAATAGACATTTTTATCAATTAATTAACAATAATTGTAATAATTTAATGCATTCCGAAGGTAATACTTGTACTAGCGTTGCGTCAAAAGAACTTATTGAACCTAATACATATAATTAAAGTATTCTAATCCATGTTTATTTCTAAATTTTATCTATCCTAAAAACATTAAATATCAATAGTTCTCGAAGAAAATTCTAATAAACATAACTTTGTAAGATTTAAAGTTACACTGATTGCATTATGCAAATCATTCGAGATGCTATTGTATTAATATAAATAATTAATTTCATGTCATAAAAATAAATTATTTTTTTTTTTAGGGCGCGATATATTAAAAAAATAAAAGGAATGTTCTAGAATTATATGGTTTATATATTATATGACATATATATATATACATGACATACATAATATTACATATAATTTTTGTTTTTTGTTTTTTTTTTTTTTTTAAAATGACTCGGTTACTAATTTATTTTTATACAGAGAATTTAAAACTGATATAATGAATTCTTATTTAGATTTAAATTAAAAATATAGAATTAATGTCAAATTAAATAAATTATTATCTTATCGACATTCATTATATATATATATATATATTAATATTTCTTTTCTTTTCCCGTTTTGATTTTATTTTTTAGAACAAGTGTCTCGAATAAATGATGTCACACCTCGAATCATGTGACAGAGTACAAAGTTTACGTTCGTAGTTTCAATGTAATCCAGTTTAAACGACGTTTTAAATTTAATTGATTATTTTTTCATTTGGAATGTCAATACTATTTTATATAAAGGGTTAATAATAAAATGCTTTGATTAAAAATTATAAAGCTAATTTGCATTTTGATTGTTCGGGATATGTGCAAATTGTGTGTTCTCGATTCCAATGCATTCCAATTGGACACTCCCTAATATCCCATTGATTATTTTTACATTTGTAATATCTGTGGCATTCTTTATTATTAGGTCTGTAAGAACCTTCTTCACACAAATCAATGTCGCAGTTTGCTACTTCGGGTGGTGTGCAAATTGTATAATCTTGATTCCAATGCATTCCGGTTGGACATTCTTTATTATACCATTGATTATTTTTGCATTTGTAATATCTGTCGCATTCTTTAT